ATACTTTAGTCAATTAGAACTGGAGTTTCTGGTGCTAATCTTGAGTCTAAGGTCACAAACTGATGGAGAGCAAGTCGTCCAGGCCCTGAAGCAGCAATGCAGCCCAGATCATCATTCTGCCACCACCTTGTTTGACTGCAGGTTTGATGTTCTGGTTCTGGAATGCTGTCAGTTTTTCTCCAGACCTTCTGGAAACATCCTCAGAGTGTTTTCACAGAAGTTTCTTGGTAAAATTGAGTTGGATGTTTAGTTTCTTGTGAGTCAGCAGCCATTTTTCTCTCCTGACCTTTGACCTTCAGTGAGGCTACCTGTGTTGTCGGGAACATCCCGAGCCGCTCTCTGTTGGGTAGAAACCTGAACAAACCTGAACTTCCTCCCAGCGTTCTTCTTGTTTCGTCATGTTTGGTTCTTTTGTTCCTGCGGTGTGGAGGTGTGCTGCGGCGTTACGCCAGGAAAACCTGTCCGATTTCACATGTGAGAACTCTGCCTGCTCTCCTCTGGAAGTTGCTCCACTCCCAGCGGCTGACTGGAACCCTGGCTGTTCCGGTAAAGCGTTCCCGTTTGGGAGCAGATTTTGCTCTGGGATCGCCACGCTGCTGAAAACATGCCCTGAAATGTGTTGGATCAGATAAAGACGTCTGCTGGTGGGAGCTGCTCCGCTCCTTCAAAGTGAAACTGAACTCTGGTGAACTGCCTCCCTCAGATTCCAGGGAAGCCATGAAAACAATCACTCGTTTCCTCTACGCATTTCTTTACAGACGTCAACTTGTGCAATATGCTCCGTGTTGGAGCAACCTTTTAGCTGTTTTTGCACTGAAAATGTGATCCTGGATTAAAAGCTCAAATAACTCAACCCTGGATCCACAGAAGGGATGTCTTCAGGAAATCCAAAATGTTGAGAGATGAAACTGCAAAAACCAAAAGTGTCAAAACTTGATGGGAATGATCTGAAGTCAGTTTGATCAAAGACAGACCTGCAGAAATCATTTTGTCTCTTTGAAAGAACAAAATGATTTGCAGAGGAATCAAAGTTTTTATTTGAGATTCAGCGTTCCCAAAGTCGCCTGTCATGTTTTACCCTCCTGATCCGGTAGACTCTGTTCGATTAGAGACCAAAACTTCAACATTTGCTCCATTTCCGGATCGTCAAACCAACCAAACCCTGTGAGCAGCCTGTTCCCCTCCTGGCCTGTGGGGGCGCTGCACCAACAACCACTGAAGGAAACGAGACAAAAACCTCTGAAGACACTGAGAGCAACTTCCTTCTTCACCAGATGGAAACAAGATGGAGGATTTTAGCGGTTGGAGGATTTCTCTTTAGGCTAAAGACCAGGAGCCATTTCTGCTGCTAGCGCTAGGCTAACACGTTAGCTTTGGTTGTATTTACCCAGAATGCCCTGCACTGTAGTCCACTTCCTGCTTTTGGAGCGGTCTGTGGTCCGTTTTGCGTTCACATCCAAACCGAACCCAGACGGAGGTTTGGAGGACCAAAGGTCAGAGGTCAGTTAGCATTCATACCTTATCAACCGGACCGGAGTTTATAGACAAATGGACCGGAGTTGGATTGAACAGGACTGGAACAAACAAATAAGGAAGAAGAGGAAGTGAGGAAGGCTATTTCATGAAAATAATCTTCCTCTTCTTCATCATCCACATAATAAGTGGATGAAATCATTGGCCGCCATTTTTTCTCCATCTAATGATCCTGATTTGATTTGTTTTCCTCCAAAACATGAGAAGAACAGATCTAAACAGCAGCGGTTCTAGTTCCCTCACTGCGTCATTCAGAGGTCAGAGGTCGTCAGGGCCTCAGACTGAGCTGGATCTGAGAGGAGAAAACAACAGTGACTCCAAGTCAAGCGGCGGTTCAGCTGTTTTCCACCATCAGATGAAAGCCGTCTCATCTGGCGCTGACTCAGCGTTTAGGGATGGCAGGAATGACTCAGCAGTTTCTCACTGCCATTCTGCTGGATCTGAATATGTTACAGCAGTACCGCCGATCCGACGACCTGCCGACCAGCTGACCCAACGACCCGGATCAGAACAATACGCTCTGGGACTGTTGTCTGAAGCAGATGACTGGACCCATTGGACCGGTTCTGACTGGACCCATTGGACCGCCTGGTTCTGCTGCCTCACAGTCTGGGCGTGTTGCTCTGCTTGTGATCAGAAAATTCTCTGATCTGATATTTAGTGGAAATTCTTAGCTTGTAAGCTAAATATTTACAGCAAATATTTGCTTGCTGACTAACAGAAATAAATACTATGTTGTTTGTAGTTAAACATTTTTAACTCAACATGACCTTTAGCTTTTTAAAGTTTACCTGCTGAATATTTATTTTTTATTCTTTGATTTTTGGTGGCGTCACACAGGAAGTTAGAGGTGTCTCCTTAAAACCCTTCCCCAGATGTTCCAGCTGAGTTGGCGTAAACCTGGAGGAATTTGAAGCAATAATAACTTCTCTAAAAGCTAACTGACCAGAAACGGGAGACGTTTAGTCTGATTTCCTGTCGCACAGAAACAGAGAAAAGGTTGTGAAGCTGTAATTCTGTTCCTGTACGTAATGTGTGGATAATCCGTCGTGTCATCAGGTTCTGACCGCGGCTCTTTGCTCTCATTTCTCATGCGGTCGGTCAGCGGCGTGAGCAACACTCAGGATCATCCAGACCCTGTGGACAGAAACTACTGTGTCATGGTGGAGATTCTGGTTCAGCTCCAGGATTAAAAGACACAAACATCCAAAATGTTCAACACCATTTATTATTGCCTGAGTCACTGATTCCTGCCAGCCTTTCGTTTAGCGGAGAAAGTCCTGTGAGGCCTTCCAGGCGACCAGCAGGTTGGCAACATGAGGTCATGTTGAGTCACCGTCAGCCAGGAGCGAAGCGACGGCTCAGGTTGCAGAAACATCTGTAGCTTTGTGCTGCAGTCAGAATGAAAGTGATGACAGAGCCGCTCCTTCATCACGCCACCTCTCTGCTCCTCATCCTCACTTTCATCAGCGGCCTCAGTCAGCGCAGATCTCACTTTTTATGTTAGTCTGCAGGGATGAGGAAGCTGCTAATGATGAAAACCAAGAACAGAACCACCCGGCGGTCTGGACCTGACCCCAGGGTCAGTAACGGAGTCCCACAGGGTTCTGTCCAACATGTTCCGCCAAATAACGACTGTTTGCCCAGGTCATCTTCATCACTGGTTCTGGTGTCTCTCATCTTCCTCTTAGCTGGTTCTGGTCTGGCCCGTTTACTGACCAGCCAGTACCACCACAGCTGTTGGACCAGCTAATGGTTTCTTTGGATGAGTGGGTCGGTACCAGGTGGGTCGGTACCAGGTGGGTCGGTACCAGGTGGGTCGGTACCAGGTTTGCTAACCTCTGCAGCACAATGAATGAATTGTCCCAGATAAATCCTGAAGCGATAATTTACTTTGTAAACTTTCAGAGGAATGAAGTTAAACATGGACCTGAAACCAGGTGACCGGGTCCAAAGAATCACTTCCTGCAGCACAAAACGTACAGCTAGCTGTGTAACGGCATCTTTGAGCCTGCTGAGGGCGCTATGCTATATTGTAGCACCTGTTGTTTTTCACACATGGTTGAAATTAGCGCTTTCGCATTAGCTTCGGCTAAATACCACCTTGGTGTAGCACTTTAGCATTAGCTACTGCTAAATATTGTATTGAAATACAGGTTTAGCATTAGTTTATGCTAGATATCATGTTTGTGTAGCGCCTTAGCACTGGCTGTCTTGCTTTAGCTCTTTATAATTAGCTTTTGCTAAATGCCACGTTGGTGAAGCACTTTAGCAGAACTAATGCTTTTGATTAGCTCTTTAGGGTTAGCGTAGCTAACTTCCTGGTTAGCCACACTCACCACTGGAAATGTCAGCAGAAGGAAGACGATGACAATGTTCTGATGAACTTCAGAACCCCTCAGACCAGAACCAGAGGACGACATGGCGGCCCGGCACGGCGTCAGACTGAATGAAACGCCAGCTTCACTTCCACCGGAGACGTGAGCTTTAGACCACTGAGCAACAGTCCGGTTCTGGTTCTGGTTCAGTCCAAGCAGAATCCAGATGTTCCAGCTCAGAGGTGGGCAGTCCTGGTCCTGGAGGTCCGAGTCCTGCAGCTCTTAATGTCTCCCTGGTCCAACACACCTGGATCCAGCAGCTGAATCTCCTCCTCAGTGCAGTCAGGTTCTCCAGAGTCCTGCTAACGACTCAGTATCTGACTCAGGTGTGTTGAAGTAGAGAAACACCTAAAGGCTCCAGGAGACCGGCCCTGTTCTAGCTCCAGATTCATGTTAAATTCTCTCAGACTCTCTCAAGGCCATTACTGGTGCACTTTTTCCTTCCACTCAACTTTCATGCTTCTATTTACGCCTCAGTGACCAACCAATGTTTACGAAGACATTGACTGGACTGGAGGAAACCTGGAGAAGTGCAGAAAATGCTTAAAAATGAAACCAAAGCCAGAAAGTTTGAGTCTTGGGTTTGAGTGAGGATGCTAACACGAAGCAGGAAGCCATAAAAAAACCTTCATGACTTCCTGTTGGGTTTTTCTAACTGGATTAAATGAACTGGGAGTTTCTCTGAACACGTTTCCGTGTTTGTTTCCAGTTGATGTTGAACTTGTTCCGTCGCGTCCCGGCCGAGGGTTCAGGCCCAGCCGCACCTTTTTCTGCCCCAAACTTAATAACTTCCACAGAACATCAGAGAACAGGAACAAGGCCTGGAGGGACGCCTGCACCGATGGAATCTGGTCACTCTGCCATAAACCTCTGCAGAGCCGGCTGATGTTTCAGCAGGAACATCAGGATTCCAGGAATCTGCAGGAAAAATTTCAGCTTCAGTGGAAAAATAAAGACTTCCTAAAAGAGAGGGTGGGCGGAGAGCTTCCTTCCAGTTTCTCCAGAAAATCCTAGAAACAGACGAGGCGACGCCTCCGTCTTGTTTTCCTTCAGTTGGATTCACCCTTCATCAGCTCCTCTTCCTCATCTTCACCCAGCAGGTCAGGAGCTGCAGCACAGCGCCCCCTGCTGACGCAGCAACAGTCTGGATTTATTCTGACTCTGGAGAACCAAAGATCTAATGATGTCTCACTCTGACTGAAACTAGAGCTCAGGTTAACTCCAGAGCTGTGAAAAGTTTTCACACCCCTCAGACTTGGTCTGCTTTTGATTTTTGTTTCAGATCGCAACGTCTCCCCATATGGATGAACTTTGACCCTTTCTGCTTCTAGATTTGGTTTAATTCAAACACACCAGGAACGGCCTGTTTAAAGACATGCTCCTGCATCTGACATGGATTTAAGTCTAGACTTTGACTAGGTCACTCCAGAAGGTTGACTTTGATCTAGGACTGCAACTAAGGATTATTTTGTAACTTAATTATTCTGGTGATTATTTTTTTATTTTGACAATTAATCGCATACACAAATAGTGACAATAAGCTCATTTTCTCATAATAAAATAAAACGGCTTTCTGCTTCCTCAGGTCTCTTATCAACATTAAGGGTGGAGTACACTGCTCCCTTCTGGTCAGGATGTGAACTGCAGGCTGCAGAATTTACACATCCAAGAGAAACAAAAGAAGTCCAATGTAGTTTCCATGTTAAATTTAGATGTCTTATTAAATCTGTCTTAATCTTCAGAAGGTCTAAAACTTTCAGCAGCAACACCTGGATCCATAACGAATGCACAAAACCCCAGAAGAGTCCGGTGTGGATCTTCATCAGCTGTGAACGCTGCAGCAGCTAAAAGACTCTGCTTCCCAGGATGCACTGCTCCCAGCAGCCTCAGTGTCCTCCAGCAGAGAGGACAGGAATGTCCGGCTGGACGCTGCAGAGGCATCAGGCGGAGGAGGGACCGGCGTCTTCATCACCGACCCGTTTCTTCCTCTTCCTCACAGATCACTTCTGCAGCTCCTGCGGCGTGCTGAACGTCTCGTACACGATGGCGGCAAACTCCTTCACCTGGTTGTTCAGCAGCAGGTCCTGCAGAGAAAACGTCCGATTACCAGAACAGAACCGGTCTGGACCCCGGTCTGGACCCCGGCCTGCCGGTGGAACCAAACCACCCGGATCCAGCCGCTCGACCCACAGCAGGGACGGTTTCCACAGAACCACCAGGTCGGACCCACCTGAACGAAGTGGCTGGGAGTGTCACTGCAGACGGAGTTGATCTGACCGTTGATGATGGGGATGATCTTGGCCAGCGGCAGGCTGACGGCCGACAGGCTGACAGAGAAAAACGTCAAACTAATCAGCCAGAGAACCAAACGTTTCCCTTCAGATCAGCTGGAAAGAAGCTGCAGCTTTGATCCCTGAAGCCAAACACTGATTCAAACCTCTGGAAGATACTGACGGCTCATAAGGTCTCTACAGAATCTGACTTTAAACCATATTTATAACTGTTCCCAGAGCAGCAACAGTTGCTTCTTTAGAGTTGTTGCTGTGGTTTTGGCATTGTCCAGATATCTGCGGTCTGTCCGGTTCTGACCTGTCGGGGGCGGAGTCACTGACAGGAAGCCGGAAGAACTCGGCCAGGTTGTCAAGGAGACGAGAGAAGCCGCGGTTCAGACAGGCGCCGAGAACTTTGCTCAGATCTGGACTGAAGACAGAAACACAGCAGGCGGTTAGCATTAGCATTAGCTTTAGCGCCAGCATTAGCTGCGCCGGACTCGTCCACCTGTCCAGCATGTCTCTGGTCTCGTTCAGCAGTCTGATGGTCACCAGGTCCTTCTCCGTTAAGCCGCACGCCTGCAGGGGACAAAACCAGAGAGTGAGGACGAGGCTCCTGATTGGACGCCGTCCTCAGCAGAGCGGACGACTTTAATCCTTCATCTTCATATTTATCATATCTATAAAAGCTCAGGAAAGAGAGGCTCTGAAGAAATGTCACTCGATTTGTTGCTAGTCGCTTTTTCAAAATAAAAGTGGCCACCTGGTCGGCGAGGACTTCCTCATCGTCCGCCAGCATGTAGGAGGACAGCGGCCGTCCAGAGTCCACCTCGGCTCGGATCCAGATCAGCTGCTGCTCCAGCTCCAGCAGGGACAGACTCTGCTTCAGAGACACCCTGGACACAGACAGGAGGACATGAGGGGACAGATGTCTTGGAGACAGTGAGGGACAGACGCAGAGACGTTTACCCGCCCAGGGAGTTCTGCACTGCCGTCTTAACCCTGGAGATCAGCTCCGTCAGCCCTGGAGAGACGCATGGACGGGTCAGAGGACCGACAAAGGACAGAGACTGGTCAGGGGGAGGGGGACGCTCCCTACCGTCTCCTAGGAGATGCTGGATGCTGGACAGGTACTGCTGCTGGACATCTGGAGGCGTCAGAGGACTCTGAGGGACAACAAACATGAAGTTTCTCCTTTAAACTCCCTGAAGTGAAAAATTCCTGTGGGACAAATCAAAGCGCTAAGCTAATAGCGCTCGCTGCTAGCTGTCTGCTAGCTGTCTGCTAGCTGTCTGCTAGCAGGCCCTCCTCACCGCAGCGCTCTTCCCCACAGAGTTGTCCAGGTACAGGTATCCCCCGATGATGTTGAGCTGCACCCTGAGGAGAACCACCAGCATGCAGGTGCTGTAGACGGCCACGACGGTCCGGGTGAAGCCTGAGGAACACACACCACGTCGGGAACACACACCACGTCGGGAACACACACCACGTCGGGAACACACACCACGTCGGGAACACACACC